TTTAAAAGTTAAACTCGGATACCACACATAAATGGTCTTCGGAAACTTATTTACTTGCTCAGTCAAAAAAAAAAAACTTATTTACTTGCTTCATTCACCATCTACCAACGTTAATATCTTCCAAATTAAAGTATGTTAAAAAGTTTCATGATAAAGAAAAGTTCAATCTCGTAACTCTAGTACCTTATCAAAAATATGGGAATGTGTTTTTGGATTATTTTTTTCTCGTGGAATAGTTTTTTATTGATATGAATTTAACTGTAGATCTTGTTCAAGTGTATTTCTAAACACAAATTATGATAGGTGTAACGGCCCCTAGGTAGCTACTAGATACTTAAATTAAATAATTTTGTTCATATATCGGCTACTAAATGATGAGCTTACTTGGTGTAGAAGTATATAATCATAAAATTATAACATATAGTTATGAATTGCATTAGATAGAGGGTCCAAAAAGGTACCAGTCAAAGAACTTTTGTGTAGAGCAAGAGGTTAACAAGATCTCTTTCTTTTAGTTGGGTGTGGGCTCCTTTAGTTGTTTGGTGGCTTCATGTCACTCTTAATTGCTTACAATCACATTATGCTTTAACCCCATATTCTTAACAAAGCACATTTATTTTATGATTTCATTATATCAAAACTTGGAATTTATAAATATCATATGAAAGATGAAGTGACCAAGACACGAATTAAAATAACAAGAGGTGATCAAAAACATGTCAAGTGAACAATTATTTTGTTGATTTTCTCTCTGACTATATATAGTCTCTTGCATAAATGAATATTCATTTGAACTAGTAAACAACATTGGGCATATTTTGAAATTTTGGTTTACTATTTTCAACTAGTCAATTTTAATCTGTATATGAGGTCCTTCGTGAGCAAAATTAAACTTAATTCTATATAATTAAAAAAGAGAATTGCAATAGCATGCATCTATACAAATATCTCATATTACAACAAACACTCAAAGCCATGACAACCCAATTTTATCCATATTTTAAAACTTCAAGGCTATTTTCAGTTAATTTATTTATATATTATATTTTCTCTTCTTTTGCGAAAGTTTACAATTGAGGTGAAGAAAACGAAAAAGTAATTCTTATTTTAATTATTTTTTTTTTCTTAAACGAGACACCAGTTGTTCTTTTTTTTTTTATGTGAACATTACCCTCTCAGAGCCACCAGTTGTTCTTCTGTGTTCTATTTAAGCACATTCTCTTCACTTCATCCTCTCAAAGCCTCGTGTCTTGTTTTCTTTCACCAGACACATAATAAGAGAACTCCAAGTTCATCAAGGTCAGTTTTTATTTTTTATTTTTTTATTTTTTGACAAAGGGCTTCAGTTTTTATTTTCTTGATCGTAACTATTTGATTAAATTAGATATTGATTTCAGAAATATATAGCTAAGTCCACAACTAATTGGCAAATAATACGTTATATGTGATGAATATAATATGATAAAGCATAATATATATATCCACTATTAACTTCTACCTAAATATACTTCTGAACCACACAATTAATTTCCGTGTCCTAACTTTCAAAGAAAACAAGACTTCAGTACATAAGAAATTCATTTTCATTAGTTGCATGGTACTTGGCGTTCTTTTTGTTTTCTTTCAAATAGATATGTTAAGCTAAAATTTTATGGAACTATCTAATAGAATATTCAAATTTATTTGCATCTCTCCTTTTTTTGTACTTTCTTTGCATCTCTTCTTTTGTAATAATGTTTTTATGTGCATGTAACAGAAATAAAGAATAAGCGCACGCATACAAGAACCTAACGAAGATGAGCAGACCCGGAGACTGGAACTGTAGATCATGCACCCACCTCAACTTCCAGCGCCGTGATTCTTGCCAGCGATGCGGTGACTCCCGTTTGGGTGCTGGTGGAGTCGGTGGCTTAGACTTTGGTGATTTCGGCGGCAGAGGTATGTCTGCTTTTGGATTCACCACCGGCTCCGATGTTCGTCCAGGTGATTGGTACTGCACCGTTGGAAACTGTGGGACTCATAACTTTGCCAGCCGCTCAACTTGCTTCAAATGTGGTACTTTCAAGGACGAATCCCTCGGTGGTGGCGGCGGTGGTCCGGCCATGTTTGAGGCCGACGTTATGCGGTCTAGAGTCTCCGGCAACGGTGGCCGCTCCAGTTGGAAATCCGGGGACTGGATTTGCACTAGGTACAAATGAAATATTTTAGTAAAAAAAAGATAACTATATTGATGAATATATATATATATATATATATATATATATATATATATATATATATATATATATAAAGAAAGATAACTATATTAATGAATATAATACGTGTTCAAAAAAAGAATATTATACATCGTTTTACATGTAAATTACATATGTTTAATTAAGTTTAATTGATGATAGATATTTTAATTATTGGAAAACAGGCTTGGTTGCAATGAGCATAACTTTGCAAGTAGAATGGAGTGCTTCAGATGCAATGCACCAAGGGACTTCAGCATGAGAACCTCTTTCTAAATTACACAATAATGCCTTTGAAGTAGCCTTGTCTCCACTCTCTTGGGTAATAATTCAATTTTATTCACTTTTTTTACTAGCATATTGTTTGAGAAGTAAGACCAAGACCGTGAAGTCGGAAACTAAGGTTTATTTACGTTGTGTTCTTTCAAAATTTGATATTTTCCAGGCACCGTTTCAATCAATGGAAAAGGAGAAAGAGGAGCAAGATTGGATTAAAGATGATAATTTTGTTAGATGTTGCAATAAGAGCCAATATTGTAACTTTAGCTGTCGTGCTTTTGCATTTATTATATTTCTTTTTCGTAATTTTTCCTTTGCACTTTGCAGTTTCTTTTACTAGTTTTATTATTCTAATCATTGTACGCTGCATGTCTTTCTTAAAAGAAGATTCTCTTCTCAATTTCATCGCTTTATACATGAGTAGCTGCTTTTTTTGTTTGTTTTCTTGTGTGTCCAGCCTTTTCAACGTATATTCTAATAGACTATAGCATAGGGTCTACTATAGTTCTATCACATTATGCCAATCACTTGAGTTTTGAATGTTGATATACATTCCAGATATTGTATTAGAAGTAATCAACCTAGTGGAAGTCGGACCCAAACAAAACGAAAGATAAATCAACCTAGTTAGAGATCAGTTGTGCAATAGTAAGCAGAATTTCAAAATGCAAGAAAATTATTATATAAATAGTATTGGTTCAAATGGTAGAAGGATTCCAACTACTGCCACTTAAACTTGTTTAGGATAAGCATGTATGGAGGTTCTTGCATGCATGATGCATCCATCCAAGTGTGTATTAATATTGTATGATTAATTAGTATAAAACATATTTGTCAAAAAATGATTAGTATAAAACATCGAAAATGTGCTGTAAAAGTAAACATAGTAATTATTATGTATATCTGGACATTTTGCTTTGTTTTGAAAATGGCACTTGAAAGGTGTGCATAACTTCACAATGGAATGAAATTATGAGCTGAGATATCGATTTGTCTTCATGTTATTTCTCGAGTTCAGTTTCTATTGTTGGTTCTGTTTTATGTTCGTTTTGTTCTTTTAGTTATTATGGATTAGTTTTTATGATCTTATATATGGAATTCGACAGCAAAAATAGTATATTAGCCATAATAGGAAAAATTAATATGCTGTGAAGAGAAAACTTAAAACATTATTATCAGAGATTTCTAATGTTATCCTGAATCAAACCTAACCTAACAAAATGAATCTGAACCAAAATCAATATATAAATATTGAATAGATCTTATGTTATGGTATTTAGGATTATGGATTTTATCAGAACTGAAATCGAACTCGATGAATATCTGATACAATCAAAATCTCATAAATAAACTTATACCAAATTCGAATTTAATCCCAAATAAATACCTAAAATAACTATATAGTACATGTATAAAGATCTATTACATGAATAAGTAACTAATGAATCATGACACCAAAATTTTGTTAATGTAAATCATTTAATTTTTCTAAGTTTGTGAACTAAATTATGTACTTTCAAATCACAACTAAGTATTTGGGTAGTCAAAAACCGATTTAGAATCAATCCAGAATTAAAATGAGTTAGATTGGGATTTGTGATGTGTTACTATATCAGAATCGATCTCGAGAAAAATATAAATTCAATCTGAATCGAACTTTCAAAATACCTTAACTGAATTAAATTGTATATCCCTGGAGAAACAAAACTCAACAGAATCCAGACCGAATTCAGTTGAAGACTTGAACACTTAAGCCTAATACTAATACTAAGACTCAATAAAAAGAACTAATATTTTTTTTCAAACTTATGCATCTTCTTATTAATATGAACGAGAGTTTACATGATCTTCATATAGAAGATTAGAAATTGAAACAGGTACATAATTATGAAAATAATAAGAAGGCATGGAAGTAATTCATGATCTTGCTAATGCGTCAGCTACTTTGTTGGCTTTCCGACTAACCCACTGAAAAAAAAAATCTCATGAAATTTTATTGCCCACAATCTTCTCTCCCTTTGCCAATTATAAAATGAGAAATATAAGACTTTATCATTGAGTATGTCAATAGCTTTTTTTTACAATCAGACTCAAAGATGATCTTTTTGTAACCAAGTCTCCTAAGTAGTTTGCACTGCCATGATTAAAGCTTGTAATTCACTTTCCAAAGGCGATGAAATTGTAAATCCATGGGCCTGTACACCTCCACAATAAACTCCATGAGCATCCCGAATTACCCATCCCACTGAAGCTCGTTCCTGATCATTAAGGAAAGATGCATCTACAGTACATTTCATCGATTGTTCTTGTAAGAAGAAACTAATGTTATTAATGTGCTTTTAGAAAACATAGGGATGGGCTAAAAGTATTAATGGGCTAGAAAAGCCCAAAACAAATAAAAAGTTTCTATTCGTTCGTGCTTCGCTCTGGTTGTATCGAAAAAAACCCAACCAACGAACAACCAGTGTTAACCTGAAATTTGATTTTTGCATCCGTTTTCTCACATCACCCTTCCTCGTTCGTATCGTTACGCTCTGTAATCCCATTCTTTGCCTTACATTCTCTGTCTCGAAATCCTTGTCTCCCTCCATGGCTTCCTGTAAGATTTCTCACAACCTATCTTTTGTTTTGTCTCTAAATTTTATGAATCATGAGACACAATGGTTTTGTTTCTACATTCGAATTTGTATGTGGCTCCATAGTTTTCTGTTCTCATAGAATCCTATTCATCTAAAAGATCGAAACTTTGGAAGCTCTGTTTATTGATAATTAGAAAAAGGGACAATAAGGTTGAATTTGCTGTAGATTGGATTATCTAGAGTTGAAGCCTTTCTCAAATATGTTATGAGATTCAAAGTTACTTCCTTTATATTGCTAGTGAGATTGGTATTTTTTCAATGTTGATGTAACTGATTGTTGTTATTTTGAAGTAGTAGACATCTTGTGAATGTGTGTAAGACTTGGTTATATCTAGTGCCCACCCACAGTGCTGATATTGTGTCTTCTTGAGTCTGTCTTGTTTTTTTTGTCAAATGAGATAACTTGGCTCCTGTTTCAGGTAGCCTAGGAGTACCGAAGATTAAAATCTCAGCGGTAGATCTAAGTAGAGTAAGATCTGGAAGCTTGCAGATTCCATACAGTCAAAGTTTGTTGTTTGCTCAAAGGCCGGTTAAGTGTTTGACTTTGAGGACAAGTGTTGTTGGATCTTTTAAAGCTCTCCAAGTGTCTACTGTCACAGCTGTGGAAACAGCAGGTACATCTTAGGGCCTTTCTTCTATGACCATATGTGGGTTGATATGTACATTGAGAGCGTCTTTTATTTCTCTTTAGAAGTATTCTCATTTAACATTATTATTATTGTATCCGTAGCTAGTGTAGAAGTAGAAGATGCTGAAAAGACCAAATCGTCTCCGTTGAACGCTCAGCTCGTTCCCAAGCCCTCTGAGGTAGGTTTTTGAATTTTGCCACTAAATATTAGGATGCCCATTTGAGTAACTTTCTCTGGCCATGGAAGAGAAGAGATTGTGTCATCTTGATGAGCTTGTAGAACATGATTCATGTGAATATAATTGCACAATGAAAACAGTTTAGTCTATTTTTTTCAGTGAGAAGCATTTGGTTTGATTTTGTTTTCTATCTTCTAGGTGGAAGCTCTTGTCACTGAGATATGTGATTCCTCATCAATTGCAGAGTTTGAACTGAAAGTAAGTAGGGTCATATTGAGTTGAGCTGTAGTTATGTTGTTGCTCTTTTGATTAGTAAGTCTTATCTGATATCTCTGCATCTTTCATTTGTGTATTCTAATAGCTGGGGGGATTCCGCCTATATGTAGCAAGGGACCTAGCTGACAACAACATTAGTCCACCACAACCTCAGCCAATTTCTACTCCCGTTGCTGCAGCTACCGAGAGTGCTGATTCGAATGGATCAGCTTCCTCTACTTCATTGGCTATCACAAAACCAGCATCTTCAGCTGCTGATCAGGGTTTGATTATTCTCCAATCTCCAAAAGTAAGAAACCACACAACTTAAAAGGGCTAAAATGCCAGAGCTTTCATTAAGAGAGTTCGTCACCAATCCAAAATGGTGTGGTAATGTGCAGGTAGGATTCTTCAGGAGATCTAAGACCATAAAGGGTAAACGCACTCCTTCGTCTTGTAAAGAGGTAAGACTAATCCTCTTGAGCAGAAGACAGTGTTTGATTTTGACGTGGAACTCACTCATCACTCTCTGTCATTGCTTTTGTTTACACTTGACAGAAAGACCAAGTGAAAGAAGGTCAAGTTCTGTGCTACATTGAGCAACTCGGTGGCCAGTTCCCTATTGAGGTAAATATAATATTAAATTTGATCTATCTCTTACTTCCATCAAGTCTGTTAAAACTGCTTCATGATCAATGTTCCAGTCTGATGTTACTGGAGAGGTTGTCAAGATACTTCGAGAGGATGGAGGCAAGTCTATCTTCTTCTTCTTTAACCTATTCATGTTTTTTCTTGCTACTTTTCGCGTAATAACGATTTTTTCTCTGTTTTGCAATTGAAACAGAGCCTGTAGGATACAATGATGCTCTCATCTCGATCCTTCCTTCCTTTCCTGGTATCAAGAAGCTTCAGTAAAACCAAATCCAAGCTGGTTTTTGAGTTGTGAAACTGTATGCTTTTAGAACAAACAAACTTCATTCATATTTCTGTTTGTCTGAAAGTTCTAATAAGACATTGTTTTATTATCTTCTTTTACTTATTTGTAATACATTCTGATACCTTTTTCTTAATACATACAATCCAAAGATTCAAAGATCTCTCAGGCTAAAACGATATATGTAATGATTTCTACTAGTTGAGAGTCTGGGCATTACTGTTATTGAAAGTTGATTCCAGCACTTTGGAGAAGGAGTTGCTTTCTGAATTTCTGTATAAATGCCTCTGCACTTTCATTGATGTCACGTTCGTTCACTGCCTTCTTCCTTGCCGGAATATTCTCTACCATCCCTGCTCTCTTTGGATGTTCTTCGGCTTTCCTTGGCTCGTAGGTTGATGATGATATGTAAGAAGCAGACATTGTATGAGAGAAACGTTGCTCTACAACACTAATAGTTCTTGCTTAGTTTTTGTATGACTCAAATGGTGATATATATAGATACGAATGTGTGTGTATTATATACAATGTAGGTATAAAGATTGCTCTAGATACAATGAACTTTTGATAGAATAAGCTTTTTCGGATTAAGATAAAACTTTTTTTGTAGACCTAAGATACTCATCATTATATGTTTGAGTAGTACACGTTTATTTGAACTATTCTACTCTTGAATTATTAATCTTTAGTTTTCTATAACTTTTTGTTAATTATTTTTTAAAAGAAATATCTACGGTCTTTTCTTCATTGTTTCGAAAAATATTAGTTTTGTTATATAAATGAGATCTGTACCATGTAATCTAACTCTCATTTAAAGAAAACTCATTTTTCAAGAAAATTCAAATATGTGATCTTCAATTTTTTCCCAAGATAATCCTAATATTTTAGCCATTAACCAATCCATCATTAACATTATTAAGCTATTAGACATTGAAAAATCTTCTTTCACAAGTTAACGTGAGAATAATTTGAAATTTCTATAAAATACAATATACATGCAGTAACGAAGACAACATAAAATATAAAATATGCATCGCCGTGATGAAGACAACATATCTTATGAATAATCTTCTTTTCATATGAGACTCATATATCATAGGAAAGAACACAATTACGACCTAAATAGCTGCCTAACTCTCCCTTTAGCCAAAGCATATATCCTTCAGTAGGATCAATAATAGCGGAAAGAAAGGCTAAATAGTGCCTAACTCTTCCTTTAAATATAAGTCGTTTATATATGTATTCAGGAGGACCAAACCTTTTCGATTAAAATAAAATTAAATACAAAACCAATAATTAACCATCAAAAAGTTCCAAAACATTCCAAGCTTCAACCAAATTCTTCAAACTCTAGCCGGTGAAATAAAGAATATATAAACTCTCAATTAGATACACAAATGAATGACAATGATTAATCTCCCTAATCATAATATACCCAGCTATCTTTTTGCTCTCCATGAACAACACGATTATTCCTACATCAAAAAAAAAAGTTGTTGTCAAAAAAAAAAAAAAAAGTTCGTACGTGGGAAATGATATACAATTTTTTATGTAAAAAAAATTGATATACAATTTTATTCATTCATTTTAAAATTTGCCAAAAATAAAATAAAATACCTTGAGTACACATTAACTAGTTCCTGTCCAGTAACTTGAGAACTGTTACACGATTAAATGAAGAGTGATTTACATCCAGAGTCACTTTCCATGAAATGTTAGTTAGTAATAATATAAGCAAATTAAAAACAAGGTGACATAGTGATGTTCTGAAAGTTTTTTTTTTGGTAAAATGTTAGATGTTCTGAAAGTTAATAGAATAGGACCTGAAAAATTTGGAGGAGAGTTACTCAAAATGTACAAAGCGTCACGCCATTCCTGAGGTGTTTTCTTAGAGGCCATTGCTCGGCCTATTGTGACCAGTGCCAAGGGGAGACCATCGCACTTAGCTGCAACCTCCTGAGCCACTTTGGTTATGTCCGGGTGGCTCTTCACAGTCTCTTCTCCAGCATTCTTCTTAAACAAGTCCCAAGCTCTCTCCCACGACAGTTTCTCCATTTTGATCTTGGTCTGTGTTCCCATATCCCGACAAACATCATCCGAACATGTCGTGAACACAACCTTCGACCTGTTCTGTATATCCGGAGGCGGCACACCAGCTTTAACTGTTTAAAAAAAAATTAAAATCCTTAGTAACTTGCTTCACAAGTCTTCTTGATAAACAAGTAAGGGTTTATTTATTACCTAAATCGACTTTCTCCCAAACATCGTCAAGAAACAAAGCAAACCGTTTCTTGCTAAGTATCTCAAAGATCTTACCAGCTTTCTCTTCCTCTGTCTTACTCGTCCACGACCTATCAAGAAACCCTATCTTCTCTCGGATCGTGTCTTGAATCTTCTCAAGATTCAGATTCTTGGACACAAACACCCAAATCACAAAGTCAAACCCATTCGACTTGTGCTGAAGCAACCTGTTGTTAACCTGAGTCAACACCGTCGTCTTCCCAACACCTTCAACACCGTACAACCCAATAACCCCAGTGTTATCCACCGTCAAACACCTCCACACCAACCCTGAAACAGCTTCTAATCCAACCGTCTGATCATCTCTATCAACGGTCGAGATCATCATCGACCCACCACCGCTGTTTTCAACCACAACATCAAATGTTCCTCTGCTCTTTATCTCCTGAACCTCTTTCACCATCTTGCAGATTTTCTTGTCTGTCTTGTGACTACTAATCAACATCACGCTTGATCCATTTGAAGAAGAAGAAGACATCAACATCATTAACATGTCTTCTGCTTCTCTGATGGCTGCGTCTGATTGTCTAAGCCAGACCTGGACTTTCTCGAGAGGCTTTAGCTTCTGTTGATCTTCGTACATTTTGACTCGTTTCAAGACATTGTTGTGTAGATCTCTGAGCTCTTCAGTTATGGTTTTCAGCTTCTTGGCGTTATCGTTGTCTTTTCCAACGTGGATGCATCTTGTGACCATACTTTTGAAATCTTTCCCCATATTTTTTTTGAATTTTTTTCTTTAAGGTCACGAACTAATCTCTCAAAATGACAAATAAGGTATAAGTTATAAGCATATGTATAGAGAGATGAACGTGTTAGCCATGGCTTTATACTGACCCGCACGTTGTGTTTTTATTTGTTTATGCGAGTGTGTTAGTTGTTGAAGGATCTTTAAGATTTGATTATCATGTCTTTTAATTCGATCGTGTGGTTAAGTGATTAATAAGTTAATCGGCTACGGTGACAACAATATGAATTAAGTAAATCAACATCAATAAACTAATGAAATGATTGTTTATGGTTATCATGTAAGTAGACTCACAATCATGCATCAAGAAAGGAATGCATAGAACTATGTTCTGGAGTAAAAAGGCATTTGCAGAGGTAACTTTCTCAGGGATTTGAAAGAGAAAGAGATGAAGAAAGCTCTTTGGGAGATTCATAAGAATGATTTTGAAATTAGCAGAGGATCAGTCTGCATTGCCTGACCGTTTCTGTGAATTTAAGCTGTAATTTTCATGGAAGTAACTGTTATTTTGCAGTAAGGTCCTCATAATTGTTTTGTATACTCTAATCGCCTGCTGCTTTGGAATTGAATAATTAGTACATCCCCTCAGAACTCAAATTATCCGCTTCAGTGAAAGTCACAGACAATGCTGTTAAAGAAATTATAACAAAAACGTTGCTGACTTAAGGAAAAATTTGTATAAATTGTAAAATCTGGCTTGTAAGATTATAAAATCTGATATGTTCTTAAGAACATGAGTAAGAAATATGATGATGAGGGTTGCACTTGCTGTTGCAAAAGCCACATCCCCTGACCACATACTTTGCTTATTTGCATGTTTGTCTCAGTCTTTGGATGTTATAACGAGCAAACCCAATGCACCAATGAGTATATACTGAAAGAAGAGAAGATAAACAAAGATCTTATAGTGAGTATCTATCTATACATATCTAACGTTAGAAACCATGAGATAGTAAATTGCAGGCCGTGTTAGAAGGTTTATACCTTGACGATAGGCTTCTCTGACATGATAATAGTCATCCATCCAACATAAGGCAAGAACCTGAAAAAGTAACAATTTAATGAGATGAGTTTTTTTTTTTCTTTTTTATTTATTTAGAGAGCTTACCCAATAGCTCTGCCCATTATATGTTGCCGATGAAGCCAAAATTGTCCATCAGCATAGAGACCGATGTCATCCACGTCATTATTGTCACCTGGAACAATTCAATAAACAATCCCATAAACTACACAGAAAGGGGTTTAACATTCGAACAAAAACAAACAAAGCTAGCACCTTTTGTAAGAACATCAACATGTCCAGTGTTTTGCCTCTCATGAACCTGTAATGTTGATAGTCTAACTATGATGTGACTAATCTCCACAGATTATATAATGAGACAAAGTGTAATTAAAAAAAAAAAGCATTATTACTTTGATTGCACGATGGACAATGGGAATATCACGACCCTGAAAGAAGTGAAGTGAAACAAAACCAATCAATAGAGACACACACAGACAAGGTCACAAGAACAAGAAATGTATCACTTACATCAACATTGAAAACAACAATCTCTCCTGCTCGAATAGGCTCTTTAGTCATATGCAAAAACAATACATCCCCCTGTCACAACAATAACACTCAAACTCATTTCATTACAATCTCAAAAGGAACCAAAGATTGAAACTTTACTCTCTGAAAGCCAGGTTCCATGCTTTCTGAGAGAACAACGACTACTGGAGACTCGGTGCCGGTCACACACATCAACGTCTTCCATATTATCAATGCAGACGTCACGATCATACCTTTAAACCCATTAAAAGGTAAAGACTTTGTTCATACCCAATAACGAAATGGAGAATTTGAAACTGTGAAAACCGAAACGAACCGAGTGTGATGGCTTGAGTGAGAAGCTGACGGATCTTGATTGATTTTATTGAATCTACTGTTTCTCCGATCCAACCCATGATTGTTTCCTTACTTCAGTTTTCAGTCAGAATGATGATTCAGATCTGCAGAAACTTCTCACGCGTTTTCAGTGGAGAAGAGGAAGAGGAAGAAGAAGAAGGCAGATTTCTCCACGAGCGGTTTTGGAAATTGGTTTAAATAATTGAATTATCGGTTTACTATTACCAGTCAAACCGGTTTAATTTGTTAAGGATTCGCTTTTAATGTTATTCCTTATTACCAAAAATAGACTAAACATTTATTCAAGTAAAAAATCTACTGTTTGCTGGACACATTCATGGTTTTTGAGAACTTGCAAGACCAAACAGTCTCTTGTGAGACGTTTATAGTGGTAGCTGTAAAACTCCCTGAGGGAAATAATTTGTATAGCAAATGTGATTTTGTGTTCTTAACATTCATCTGTGTTAAATCGTAAATTAGACATGATGATTAGCCTAATCAACCGAGAATAACAAATTGAAAACATTATTGAGGACAAGTATAGAAAAAGGCAAGGTTTTCTTTCACCACCACACTAATCATAATAACAAAAATATTTAAGCAACATACCCTTTTTTGTGTGTTTCTCATGAAAATTTTAGTTGTCTAATTTCTGTTCCCTAACTAGCTCACTTGCTAAAGGTGTTTCACTGGAATGTGGAACTTACTTAAGCTTCAGAAATAAAACTCACAGTTACCATTTTCGATGAGGTTCCTTCTACTTGGTTTTTACTTAATTGTGTTCAACTGTACTCCACGTTTAGGTTGTTTAGAGCATCCGTAACAATGATCCTTAGGAAAAATCCTCAGAGAAAAAGAAAAAATGGTATTTTAGATTATATAAGGATATTTCAAATTTTTTCTTTAAAAAAAAATTGACCATTCACAGGCCGCCACGTGGGCAGTGAAATCCGCGAATAGTGTAAAGATCAATCTTTAAATAAGGATTTTAAGGGTAGAATCCTTAACTGTTCATGGGATCTACTGATTATAAAATTAATATTTTCTTAAAGATTTCTCATAAAGAACTATGGTTATGGGTGCTCTAAAGGAGACTATGCACGGGCCACTGGTCCGCTAACTTTGCCTCTGATCTCTTGATTACGCTGTGTAATCTCTGGATGATAGCTAATGTTTGTCCACATAAGAGCCCACAGTTGGCCCTTATACAATTGCGCTTAATTAAGGTGATGAATTTAGACAAGTTTTGTTGGGTCCAGGCCTCGGCCATTCTCTTCCTCGACTCTTACTTTTGGTAATGTTTCTTTTACTTTAAACCGGGTTATATACATGTCAATGTGTCATAGACTCATAGTCTAGTTGATAAATGCTAGTACCGCATTGAAGTACTCATAGATGCATACACTATACTTGGATCAAATATAAATGATATATTTTCTCAAGTAGAGAGTAGTTGAGACACCTCAATACCCATTAACCAATCACTGATTCACTGCATAACCAAATTAGTACTATTAAACCAATAGAAATAGACATCGTCAGTGTCGGCAGCGGGTGGGGACCATCGTCCATGTCTTATCGTCATGAATATCCTAAGAACATTATGATGACTTTTAGTAAATTACCTTTGAAAAGAAAAAACGAATAATTACCTTAGTTGTTTTCTTTTGTAATGATGAACTATTGTTTGTTTTTTTTTATCAACGATGAACTATTGTTAATATTACAAAGTAATGCATTTATCTTGCAATAAGTTTACATGTAATACACATAATCATATTACATTTAATGATTTTTGGACGTATATAATGAAGTTTTTTGATAAATTTGCATTGACAGTGAGCAAAATTATTGACTATTCTAGAGAGTTGAGCACTTGACACGGCTTCCACGCGTACGTACTTATATTGAAGATATATCTTCGCCAATTAATCGGTACATTATTTTGAAAATTGTAGAAGTTAGAAGAACGCAAAATCGACTTAGTGAAACTTTATACTAGTTTGTTAAGATGATTACAAAAGACGTGTATAATCCACTTTTCATATGTCGAATAATAATGTATACAAGAATCCAAAGCCATAAAGAAAAAAGAATCCAAAGCCATAGACTCATATTCACTAGGTCCAACGATGAAAAGTTAAAAGTAGTAGAGTGGTTCAGTATGAACACACTGTACTGTGTTGTACATAGATCGTTGAAGTTTCTCCTCGAATGGACGGTGAAAGATTCAGTTTCGGGAACACCGTCGTGGCACTTGGACACGGGAGCACGATTTTGATATATTATCCTCAAGTCAGGTATATTTACAACTTTGGCTTATTTTAAGATTTTCTGATAGTCACTAACTCTTCCACTTTCTCCTTTTTGAACCTTTATTATATAATTTTACAGTTGTGACCACTAAAAGTATATTATTACTCGGAAGTTTAATCTTATAAATTGTGCGACTTATACCCAAGTATTCCAAACATAATTTTATCGTTAATACCATACAGTGAGAGTAATATTAAGAGTCGTTTATGTAACAATTAGGACTTATTTATGAACTAATAAACTTAAGGGCTGAAATAAAAAAAACGTTGATTTGTCTTCGTATGGTTGGTGGGGTCATGTCAAATAAATCATCGAAGCAAAGTAGGAAAGAAATAAAAGAAAACGAGGCCCCACGCGTCCTCTATCATTTTGATTGAATTAATAGCTCCACCACATAGTAGCCTCTTCTTCCTCTCTTACCACCGTTTCAGTATCAACGAATCTTGCAAGTTAGTCTCTCTCTGCATCTCTTTTTTAGCTTTTATCACTCTTAATCTCATCCATCTGTCTTTAAGTTGTCTGAACATCTTAAGGATTAGAAACCGTATGATGTAGTAATTAGGATAAGTGGTACTAATACTGTTAAGGATTCGTTACATATATATATAATGTTTGAATAAACTAATCCTGTTGATTAACTACAGGAGAGAAAGAGAGATCAATGGCGCAGCATCTGTTACACGGGACTTTGCACGCTACCATCTTTGAAGTTGATGCCCTCCACGGTGGTGGTATCAGGTCTAGCTTCCTCGGCAAGGTATTTAACATATTAGGGTTTCTTCACCTTTAAACCTACGTCTTATACTCTTATGTTCTGTTTTTTTTTTTTAATTCTTATCCTCTGTTTTTAACTTTTCAGATTGTAGCAAATGTTGAAGAGACAATCGGTGTCGGCAAAGGAGAAACACAGCTCTACGCAACAATCGATCTCCAAAAAGCTAGAGTTGGTAGAACCAGAAAGATCACAAACGAACCTAAAAACCCAAAGTGGTATGAGTCCTTCCACATCTACTGTGCCCACATGGCTTCAGACATCATCTTCACCGTTAAAGATGATAACCCCATCGGAGCCACACTCATTGGAAGAGCATACGTCCCTGTAGACGAAGTCATCAACGGCGAGGAGGTAGACAAGTGGGTTGAGATCTTGGATGATGACAAAAACCCTATCAAAGGAGGGTCCAAGATTCATGTGAAGCTCCAATACTTTGGTGTTGAAGAGGATCGTAACTGGAACATGGGTGTCAAGAGTGCTAAGTTCCCTGGAGTGCCTTACACGTTCTTCTCGCAGAGACAAGGGTGTAAAGTTTCTTTATACCAAGGTGCTCATGTTCCAGATAACTTCGTCCCCAAGATTCCTCTCGCTGGTGGGAAGAACTATGAGCCTCATAGATGTTGGGAGGATATTTTCGACGCGATAAGTAATGCGAAACATTTGATTTACATCACTGGTTGGTCTGTTTACACTGAGATCACTTTGGTGAGAGACACAAGGAGGCCGAAGCCAGGAGGTGATATGACTCTTGGTGAGTTACTCAAGAAGAAAGCTAGTGAAGGCGTTAGGGTTCTGTTACTTGTGTGGGACGATAGAACCTCTGTTGATGTACTTAAAAAAGATGGTCTCATGGCTACTCATGATGAAGACACTGAGAATTATTTCAACGGAAGTGAAGTTCATTGTGTGTTGTGTCCACGTAACCCTGATGATGGTGGTAGCATTGTGCAAAACTTGCAAGTCTCTGCTATGTTCACACATCATCAGAAGATAGTTGTTGTGGACAGTGAGGTGCCAAGCCAAGGAGGAGGAGGGTCAGAGATGAGGAGGATCATGAGTTTTGTTGGTGGTATTGATCTATGTGATGGACGTTACGACACTCCTTTCCACTCCTTGTTCAGGACGTTGGACACTGTCCACCATGATGACTTTCATCAACCAAACTTCACTGGTGCTTCTATCACTAAAGGTGGTCCTAGGGAGCCTTGGCAGGACATCCACTCTCGTCTTGAAGGTCCTATTGCTTGGGATGTGTTGTACAACTTTGAGCAGAGATGGAGCAAGCAAGGTGGGAAAGACATTTTGGTGAAGTTGAGAGAGCTTAGTGATATTATCATCACACCTTCTCCTGTTATGTTCCAAGAAGATCACGACGTGTGGAATGTCCAGCTCTTTAGATCTATTGACGGTGGAGCTGCTGCTGGGTTCCCTGACTCACCTGAAGTAGCTGCTGAAGCTGGTCTTGTAAGTGGTAAAGATAATGTCATTGACAGGAGTATCCAAGATGCTTACATTCACGCTATAAGACGTGCTAAAGACTTCATCTACATTGAGAATCAGTACTTCCTTGGAAGCTCTTTTGCTTGGGCTGCTGATGGTATCACTCCTGAGGACATCAATGCTTTGCATCTGATCCCTAAAGAGTTGTCTCTTAAGATTGTTGACAAGATTGAGAAAGGAGAGAAGTTTAGGGTTTATGTTGTGGTTCCGATGTGGCCTGAAGGTATTCCAGAGAGTGCATCAGTGCAAGCTATATTGGATTGGCAGAGGAGGACTTTGGAGATGATGTATAAGGATGTTACTCAGGCTCTTAGGGCTCAGGGCTTGGAGGAAGATCCTAGGAACTATCTGACATTGTTCTGTCTAGGAAACCGTGAGGTTAAGAAAGAGGGGGAGTATGAGCCTGCGGAGAGACCAGACCCTGACTCAGACTATATGAGGGCTCAAGAAGCACGTCGCTTCATGATTTATGTACATAGCAAAATGATGATCGGTAAGTTTACTTACACTCTTAAATAGACCTAGGCGTTTTAACCAATTTCAAAACCCAAACCAAACCGAAAAGACCGAAAAATGTTATAAAAGATACCCAAACAGAGCATAAGAGCTAGGTACTTTTGGGTTTGGTACAATCCAAACCAAAAACCAAAAACCAAAATCCAAATTAGAATCCGTAAATACCTGAATTAGTTAAATCTATTAATGGTTTTACATATTTTAAGGTAACTTAGATATTTTAGAGGTTTTTGTAGTTTGCATACCGAAAATATTTTAGTTAACTTAGTTTGTTTTACAAGTTTTTAATCATTTTTGAATATTTTTTGGTAGCATCATTAGTTTTCTAAAACGGTTTTTGGATAATTTTAAACATTGGTTATCTAACATTGGTTTCCAAAAATTAATAAAAATCGAGTGAAACTTGCATGGTCCGAAATCCGAATCAACCGAACCCGAACACCTAAGCCTACTCTTAAAACCTAGAGAGATTTTGCATGTATATGCGCCTGTGTGTGACTCACTTGACCTATGTGCAGTTGATGATGAATACATCATCGTTGGGTCTGCTAACATCAACCAGAGGTCAATGGATGGTGCAAGAGACTCTGAGATAGCAATGGGAGGGTATCAACCACATCACTTGTCCCATAGACAGCCAGCTCGAGGCCAGGTCCATGGATTCCGTATGTCACTCTGGTACGAACACTTGGGAATGCTCGATGAAACCTTCCTTGATCCCTCAAGCTTGGAATGCATTGAGAAAGTCAACCGCATTGCTGAGAAGTACTGGGACTTGTACTCAAGTGAGTCACTAGAACATGACCTTCCTGGCCACTTGCTGCGCTACCCGATTAGTGTGGACAACGAAGGTAACATCAGTGAGATTCCAGGCTTTGAGTTCTTCCCAGACACAAAGGCTCGTATCCTCGGAAACAAAGTAGACTACCTGCCTCCAATCCTTACAACCTAAGTTCACTGTCTCTCTATATTGCTGCTGTATTAGCTTTGAATAAATTGAGTATCTCTCTATCTATCTATCTTTAGAACTAATAAGTTGGTGTGATGATATGCACTTTTGTACTCCTTTGGTTTTATATTCGTACAATGACATGGTGATGATGTAGCTTTGTGATCTTTATGTACCATCTTTATGTTGTTATGCATCGTTCAACTTAATGGAACTTGTATTTGATCTTATTTATGCGTATTGGTTGTAAGATTGATAACACCACGTAAGACTTCTTCTCGTGTAGTTCTTTCTATATCCGGAAACTTCTCATTTTTAAAACATGCTGGAACATTATTGGTTTAATGTTAGAGACTTTATTGGGTTTTCTAAATCGACAGGACACGTGTATGAAGCCCTCTGTACTCATCAACTTTTGATGTAATGCTAAGATTCATTTTGATGTTGTCTGATAGATATGCCATACGTCTGTGCAAATAGATGTCAAGTGGTTTACATCATCCAAGCTAATAGAACCTCACAATTATTCAGTCGAGAAAGGTTCCAATAATTCTTGTTGCTACACTTGCCTTTTTTGAATATTTTTTTTAATATATACATCCAAGTAGTTTTAATTAATTTAATGGCTAACAGTAGACAATCAAAACTATGAGTTGGATTTTTACATGTACATGTGATATTGTTCGACTTTTTGTATACACAAGTTTTTATGATTTTATCCAAACCATATAACGGACAACAGTTAATGAACAAATTATATCTCTGAGTGAGTTCTTAGAAAAAAACAAATATAAAGAGTAGACTCTAGACATACATGATAGCAGTCTCTAATATACAAATTGTTTAATAACCAATCACAATCTTATACTAGTAATTAAAACTAGATTAATCCTAGTTTCCTGCCCACTAGGCAACTGTGAGTAAAAGCACCAAAACCTAACTCGTAGTCCTCATTTTCCAACTTTTATATATTTTCTTTTATTCTCTATAAGATTTTCTCCTTTATTTGTATTAGTAGAGAGTCACGAGTAGAGAATCCTACCATATAATTTCAACAGTTGTTAAGTTACAAGTCTTACCAAGTCTCTTCAAAAACATACACACACGTCTCTTCAAAGTCACAAGAACCAATCATCGATCAACTCAGACAAAGTTCTCTTTCCCGTTGGTTTTTTTTATTGAGAATTAAGAAACTAACATATGACTTATATGTTGGGTTGTTCTAATGGCACCGTTGCGATCGCAACCGCTATGGTTTTCTCAAGCACTGCCCTGTTTCTCGCGATGGCTCGTCAGTTCCATGGGAAGATTCATGATCATCAGAGTCCTTCACCAATCCTACGTTCTTGTCTATCTTCTTCAGGTACGTTCTTTTCTCAATAAGAATGATTTTCCGAGAAAAATGTTTTGTTTAATTATTATTGTGATGCAGAGGCAATGAAGAAGCAGAGGAGGAAGAAGAAGAAAGTTCGCTTTGCGGAGAATGTGAAAGATACGAAAGGTAACGGGAAAGAGTACCGAAAGAAGAGGGAATTGAACCAGAGAACCGTACATGAGCCAGTGAATAAACCGGGGAAGACCGGTTCAGTTTGTGGAATATCCACGATGCCAGCGAACCGGGTGGCACTGTACAATGGGATTCTCAGAGACCGTAATTACAAAACTCAATGTTCTTATTGACTTTTCTTCTGAAAGACCAAACAAGTCAATAGATTTAGGTTGCAAATTGGAGTAGGTGGTTTTCTTCTTCTTTGGTTCATATTCGTAGTAGTAATATGTGGACTTCTTATTCTCTGCTTTTATTATTTGTTATATAATCGAAGTGACCATGTAAATAAGTGATCTGTAAAAACTATAGAACTGATATTGATTGTGGTAAAACTTGTATTTGTTTGGCTAACTATAGAGCTTGTATTGATTAAAATCACAATCAGATTATATCCCAAACAGGACTGTTATATGACTATTGACCATACTAACTTACCAAGACTGTCATAATCTTCCCTAAGCTAAAGACTATAACTAAAACACCACATGCTAGTTGACACACATTTGGAAGTTAAAAGCTAGAGGTCAAACTTTCTAACATTCAAATAATTTTTTCTTTTGTATTAATCATTTTTTCTTCTTCTGTAATTACTTCCACGTGATAGGCAGACTTCGGGGATGGTACTCCAAAACTCTTATCTATGGAAGTTTTGATCAAGTTTTAATCATTTTTTTCTATTATTCCTGAAATATGTAAAGTTTTGTTACAAATTGAGTGACCTCTGGACTCTCCTACTAATGCACATTTAGGAGTTAAAAGCAATAGTTTTAAAATTCACATAAGTTCTATTTTTGTAATTCTTTTTTGTTTGCAGTTATATGTTTTCTTATAAGAGCATCTCCAAAAAGACTCTCTATTATAGAGTTTGCAAAACTCTATATTTGAAGTTTGAATGTGTTATACTCCAAAAGCAAAACTTCAAACATAACTTTAAAACTATTTGTATTTTATATAATAGTCCTTATATTTGTCATAACTAATTCAAATTCATAAAACTTTTATAAATAACTATCATGTATAAAATATCATAAAAATATTATTTTATAAAATGTTACATTAAAATATAAAACTATAAAGAGAAATATATAATTAAATATTAAAGTACAAACAAAATACCATATTATATCATGTAATATTGTTGTTGTCTAGTTCTAGTTTTAAAATATTTTAAAGATTATTTTGATGTTTTTTTTAAAATATAAAATTAAAATTATAAAAATAATTTTGAATTATTTATGAAATAAGAATTTTGAAAGATCAAAATGATAAATAATAAAATATTTCAGATTATTATAAATATGATGTCTAATTGTAAGGACCAAAATGCAAATAAAATATGAAACTTCAAATTTGAAGTTTTGAATAGTGACACTCTATATTTGAAGTTTCACTACTCAAAACTTCAAATTTGAAGTTTTAGAGTTCCTTTTTGGAGAAGCAAAAACTTCATATTTGAAGTTATAGAGTGTCTTTTGGAGATGCTCTAAATGAGAGACTCCACTCTCCAACCAAGATCTGATTTATCTGATTAATATTCTACTTGCATCGAAAATGTTATAACTTAGTTGTTTTGTCCGTGCATATACATATATACGGATAATAAATTATTAATTGTGTTACTAAAAAAATTTAAAATAAATATCAAATTATTTATATATTTTTCTTACTATATATATTTATTACTGTGTTGAAATTTAAAAAACACGCATATAATAGGAATAATTTAAAAAAAATCCTTATACAAATGTTTTGTTTATTACTATTTAATTATAGATTTCTATATTTTAATATTTATGATGAAAATCTTACTTTCAGGTAACAACAGAATATATATAAGAATTATCTTATTGTCAAAATATAATTATATGTCCGAAAGTTTTATTATATTAATTTATAACCAATTATCTAATATAACAGATAAATTTGATATTATTAACATCAAATTCGTTTTTAATAATGTACTAAATTAATTTAGAGTATAAATGATATTAATCATTCTAATTTTTAACCGTAAGGTCTCAAATGCTAAAAGTTAATTCGTAAATAAAATTATAGTTACATTTTTTTGCATTTTCACTAATTTTCTAATTAAATTTTATTTAGAAATGCCGGTACACGTATGCATTTTTCCAAAAATATGAAAATAATAAAAAGAGAAAATGAGGTCGAAATTCATCGGGAGAGGAAACTATGGCGACGGCTTTGTTCAACACGACGACCACACGCTCCCCCAACCTCTACCACCACCACTCAATCCTTCCCCGGTTTCACTTTCACCGTCGAAGTATCTCCTTACTCGTCACTCCTCTCCGCTTACGCCGCATCTCCGTCTCTGGTGGCCCTCCACCTCCTCCGAGTCCTGATCCGCCTCCACCTGAGAACACCACTCAGCTCGAAGGTTCAATTCTTGTTTCCCATTTATTATTCAGTTTATCACTTAACCAGATGTGTTTGGTCGGAAAGTTTCAGTTTTGTCGGATATAGTGATTTACTTTAAGTACTTAGTCTTTGTGATTGGTACTTGACTTACTTGTTATTTGGTTGTGTCTAAATCCATGAAACTAAAGTTCACATCTTGTTGTATACATGTTCCTCTATATGTTGTTCTGTTGAATACATGTGTGTTTGTTATGCAATTAACAACATAGAAAACACTACTTCACTCTAACTTACGACACCAGATGAAATGAAAATATTTTATTATTGCTTTTTGGATTAGGTCTAGTGGGAGCTGTGACAAGGATTCAAGACCGTGTAAAGATCTTCCTCGCGGTGCTGTTTTGGATGTCTCTCTTCTTCTGGGTTACTGTCACTGATGGGAGGGGTAAAGGAGGAAAAGGCAAGAAGGGTTCTCGTTTCAAATAAATTGTGGTTGTCTCATCATCAATGCTACTCTACGCTTTGTGCATATATATGTCTATGTTCTAGAGGCCGTTCTCCCCCAAGTAAGCATCTTTCTTGTAGATCAGTTATTTCAGATGATGATAGGATACAATAATACAACATGATATATGGTGAAGATGATTCTCTAGTTGTTATCTTTTGTTAATGCTATAGTATCAATCTAATATAGTTATATTATCATCCCTTTAAGTTTGCTCTAAAATGTAACTTGATAATGATGATTTCTCACCACATCAGTTTCCATCAATTCAAGTAATGCTTAATCAGTTTCCTCGCTTCCTCTTATGAGTGTGATCAATGTTTTTAATAACCGAACCGGTTAAGCTTGTATACATTCCAGCTTAATGGGCCATAAGATGATATTAATGGGCCTGAAAGTTTTAGACTTCAAAGCTTTTCTGATTCATTTTTGCGGACTCCAAATCAAATAATATTTTCAAAACGGATGCAGAGAAGAAGGTCGTTGAGTATTATAAGGGCACGTGCATTTCATGATCACCAAGTGATTAATTTACCAAAAAATACGCATTTAATGCGAACATCCATCCCAAGTCGACGACGTGCCCTTTCATTAACACCCTTTTTTCATCAAGACTTTAACGTGTCGTCACCATGATAAATACTACACATTAAAAGCGCATTATACCGAAAGATAAAAAAGACGTGGTTAAATATCATTGGGTTGTTAGTTACAATGTGTGTCACCAAAGTGACTTTACCATCATTTTCTTTGGTTCCGACAAGTCATAAGACTCACAAAGCCATATGTTAATAGAGAGAGAGAACTAACCACCAAACACACAACAAAATCCCTAATTTTTCCAACCGTCTGTCTCTCTTCTCCGTGGTAACTCTTTTTTCTTTTTTTTNAATATCATTGGGTTGTTAGTTACAATGTGTGTCACCAAAGTGACTTTACCATCATTTTCTTTGGTTCCGACAAGTCATAAGACTCACAAAGCCATATGTTAATAGAGAGAGAGAACTAACCACCAAACACACAACAAAATCCCTAATTTTTCCAACCGTCTGTCTCTCTTCTCCGTGGTAACTCTTTTTTCTTTTTTTTCTTTTTTTTTCCGACAATCAAACCCGTCTAGCTAGGTTGTCTCTTGTTGTGTTTGTGACTTATAAATTGTTAAATTTTTGGTGGCATTTTTGTGAATTTTTCAGGGATTGCAACAAAAATGGGTACAGAAGAGGAAAGTGTATCTGTGGAGCTACCAGCACCTTCTTCATGGAAGAAACTGGTTTGTTTCCTCTCTCTGATCCCTTTTTTGGCTTTATGAAAAGAAGAAATATCCCTAGACTTTGATGTATAATGTTGAAAATGCAATTTTACCAAATCATATACTTTATGAAAAGGGAGTAACTTTTTCTTTCGTCTTCACACTTGTTTGAAGAATGTATTTGCTAGTAGCAAACTGTTAGTATAGATATTGGTTATGTGATTCAAAAAGTTATGAATTTGAAGGAAAAAAAAACACATTTTGATTTGTCTATCAAACCCTTTTTTAAGCCCACATTAGACTTTGCTATGCAGTTACCAAATCATGTACTTACGAAAAGTAAGTAACTTTCGTCTTTGCCTTCATACTTGTTAAGACCTGAATAAGGTATAGTTGTTGAGTGTTAGTATAGATATTGATTGGGTGATTCAAAAGTTACAAACTTGGAAAGAACAAACACATTCTGTTTTAAGCCACATTAGGGTCGTCTTTAGAAATGTAAGTTGCTACTAAAGCATTCTTTTTTGTAGCTCAAATTCCAATCTTTTAAAAATGTTTTTTATGTCAAAGGTTGATACTTCTTTTTCTCTTTTTTTTTTTGCAGTTTTTTCCAAATAAAGTGGGAACAGTGAAGAAAACAGAGATTGTGTTTGTTGCTCCAACGGGTGAAGAGATTAATAACAGGAAGCAGCTTGATCAGTATCTCAAATCTCACCCTGGAAACCCTGCCATCACTGAGTTTGATTGGACCACTAGTGGGACACCTAGGAGGTCTGCAAGGATCAGTGATAAGAAGACTAAGTCCACTCCTTCACCAGATAAAGAGCCACCCAAGAAGCGAGGTCGAACTAAATCTTCAGGGTCCAAGAAAGATACTGAAGAAGGTGAGAAACCAGAGGGAGGAGGAGTTGAGAACTCTCATGTGCAAGAAGAAGATACTGAAATGTCTCCTCCTCTTAAGGGAACGGAAGAGAATGTAACTGTTAAGGATGGCTCTG